CAGGGACCTGTGGTGTGTGTGAGGGACACCAGGTGGTGTGAGGGACAGCAGGGACCTGTGGTGTGTGTGAGGGACTCCAGGTGGTGTGAGGGACAGCAGGGACCGCCGATGGACAGCAGGGAGCGGTGGCGTGAGGAAGCGGCCGCCTGAGGGGTACAAGTGATCGCCTGCCCGAGGGGCGTGAGGGACTGAAGGTCCCGCTGCTTCCCCCTCCGCCCCGGCTCCCATCCGAACTCTGAAACATGGGGAGAGGCTGTGCCTCGGTGACGTGGCTGCTCCCCGGTGTGTCTGGAAGGGAGAGCACATTTCATCCTCCCCCAGCGAGGTGCCTGCGGGGTGTACGTACAGGCAGGTGCTAAACCTCGTTAATAGGTGTAAGTGTCTGCAGGGAGGGGACAGGAGGTGGACCAGGCTCTGCTCGGGGGTGCCCAGCAATGGGACAAGAGGCAACGGGCAGGAACTGATGCACAAAATTTCCACCTAAACATGAGGAAGAAGTTCACTAAAACAGAGACCAGAGAAGCTGCGGAGTCCCCCTCAGTGGAGATGTTCCAAAACTGTCTGGACACAATCCTGTGCTGTGTGTTCTGGGATGTCCCTGCTTCAGCAGGGAAGTTGGACCAGATGACCCTCTGTGGTCCCTTCCAACCTGACCCATCCTGTGATTTTATAGACAAAGGGTAGCTTTGCTAGTCTGAGCACTGTTGGGCTGGTTTATTCATCAGGATGAAGTACATTTCATAGCCAGGTGGAGGAACCCTTAGTGCTGTGCTGTGCTTTTGCAGAAAGCCATGGAAGGTGTTTTATGTGGTCACAGCTGTCAGAGAGAACTTTACTGTAATCCTCCCTAAAGTCCACGCTGACATTATATCCAGATTGGATGCAGCTCATGCAAAGGAACAGCACAAGAACGTAATTTAAAGGAGTTATTAGGAGACAGGAAATATTGTGGAATGTCATCATGTGCTGAGTAAGCTCACCTTAATAATTAAATAGAACTTGCTTTAATTGCTCAAGTTTTTTTGCACTTGGACTCACAGTGAAGATATGGGTGGGCTGTACATATAAGAAGAGACTGTGATGAATTACACAATCTCATGACTTTTTGTGAATACACTGAAGATCTTTCGGTTAAATTGTAATTAATCTTTTAATCCTCAGATAAATTAATATGAAAATAGATTTTTTTTTGAGTGTATTTCTGTACAGGAATATTAAATCAGGGGTAGTAAATACGTACTTTTGATATTAAATCACGAGTAGTAAATCCATACTACAAGTAAATCTAGTACCACTTTATGTGTGTGCTGCCTGAACACAGACAGTTGTTGTGTTCTCTTGTGACTTTGCTCACACTGACTGCTCTGACTAAAGTTTTCCACCAGCCTTGTGCTGATCTTCTTGAGGGGAAGTTTTGAGCGGATTTAAGCAACACTTTTTATAAACCTTGTTTGCAAAAAAAACCCCCAAATTATGTGGCCATCCCTTTCTCTCAGAACTGTGTTTCACCCACATGCTCTACACTTGTAAATCCCATAAGAACACTTTGTTCACCCGTGGAAAGTCCACCCACCCTGACTGGATTGTGGACGTTTAAAGAACTGTCATTTACATGTTCTCAGTAGGGACTTGGCAGGGAGGTGTCGCAAATTACAAACCTCTGGAGTTTTCAGCTGCAACAGTGTGTGCCAGGCCAGGATTTCTCAGGGATTTCTCCAGCTGGGAGCTCCCCTGACTCTGCTGGAGCCAAGAAAACCCCTGGGGATTGGAGTTGAAAGTGAGTGTCTTGTGCCCTCAGTGCTGCTCTTGGCGGATTTCAGCATTTCCCTGTGATCCAGAACAGGATTAAAGTCATAATGAGTTGAGTGGGGTTTTTTAATGCTTAAAGTAACTTATCCTCTGGCACATATTATCCCTCTTATTTAATATAAAAAGAGGCAGTAGCTTTTGAGAAGTTCTTGAAGTCCTCTTTGTGCTGTACATTTAGCAATAAATGTGAACATTTGTGCCTCCTGTTCCTGCTGTGTAGGTTCCAGGTGCCAGGGTGATGCTGTGCCAGCTGACTCGGATTCAACATCTCACACTGAGAACCCTCTGCATCACCAGAAGCTGGGTATTACTAAGAAATTAGGTTTTATGAGCTCATGGGGTTTTGTTTTTTTTTTGT